GCTCTTGTCCTTACAGGTGAGCACAAAGGAGGATGAGAGCAGATAGCTTCTAAGTACACTTCTGGTCTATCCTCATGAAGAAGCTCATGTATCCAAAAAGCTGCATGAGCTTTCCCAACGAGATCAGTTGGTCTAATGCATTAGTAATGCATCTCCCGCAAACCTCGCCTCACTAATGACCTCAGACCACCGCAGCTACAAGAAAGCTACAACTAAATTACAAATAGTTAGTCATCTAGACTGATAGCGTAGCTCGCATTTGGTGAGGCGCTGAGGCAAATGGATTGAACGTAGACTAATCCAAACATTTCCATTATTAGAGCACACTAGGCAGAGTTTCCGCAGGACGGGAATGAAATCACGCTGGAGCGCCTCAAACAGTTTGCGTGTGATCCGCTACAATCTTATATATATATTTTCTCCATTCTCTGGTTTTGTCACAGTCTTACTGCCTCAGTGGAGGGATTTTGCTTGTGAGAGTGTTTATGTTACACCGAAAAAAACCCACTCAACCACTCCAAAGTTGGGATCGTTTGAACAATAAATTTAACACTGGCAAAATTAGCCACATGCAGAGATATCTTATGTGGGATGTTGAATTTCTAGCTGGTAGTTGACCAAAGCATTCTTTAAAACAGTCAGTTTATTAATCTCATTAAATCCCCTTGCCCATTATTCCATTAAGAACAACATCAGATTAATATCTTGCTGTGTTTTGGCTCAGCTGGCAAAGTACTTTTAGCCAACACAATATTTTCAGTTTAGTGTGAGTTTTAGCCTGCTTTGGAGGCAAAGAAAAGTAAAGGTTGTTTTTTTTTTGCTCAGTAACAATAAGCCCGATTTTATTGAACTAGAAAGATTTGCTCATAACATATGCATGAGGTAATATTTAAATAAGCCTGTTCAATAAAATGCTAGGTATGTCACTTAAGCCCTGAGAAAGCAAGGTGCTGTTTTCAATTATAATTTTAATACACCTGAGCATGTGAGTACTTCCATTAAAGTCAATGGGTTTACGCAGACGCTTAGGGTTAAAAGTGCTTTGCTGAAGAAGCATGATGGGACCAGAATTAAACACTACAGGTTCCCCCTATATGCTGCAGCTGAGCCCTGTGTAAAAACTGGAGTAGAATATACCTGATTCATATGCAGGAAGAAAATTAATTCAAAACATACCCTAGCTTTGAATAGAGATGTATTTTACAAAATCTGCTGGCATTAATCTGCATGAAATACTGCCTTAGCTAATAAGAACACCCGGGCTTTATTTATATATTGAGCCATTTGATAGATACAAATGAAGAAAGAGGTAAATAGAAGCCAACATATTTTTGAATAAAAGCCCAGAGGTTCTCTCAGAGTTCAATGATCTTTGTGTCTAGATTATAAAGAATTCAGAGCAGCTTCGTGT